AACAGCGCTGTCAGGCCAAACTTCCATCTCCAAAGGCAGACCTAAACAGCGATGTTCTAGTATAGAACATCGATGTAGAGACCTGACCGTTGGAAGGAATTTAAGGCTAAAACTTTCCTTGTTTGGAAGTCAACAGCCAAAACAGCGATGTAGGGATTTTAGACATCGCTGTTGGCATGACCGTTGCTTCCCATTTTTCAAACCGCAAGCCTAGAACAGCGATGTCCAGGCCTAGGACAGCGCTTTCTAGGTGATTTTCAACAGATCCAAATTTCATCAAATCCCACAAATTATGCCAATCACCCCTTAAATACTTTGGTCCGTTGGAGCCTATTTCTCTAGTATAAAATGAGGTGTTTGGGTCTGTTTTACACATAACATTACTTCACAACTCCTACTCTTTCATTGCAAATCATTCTTTAATTATTCATAGATTTTGAGAGCCATTTTTGTGAAGCTTGTGTTGTGTTCTTGAGCGTTCTTAGTTTACTCATATCCACTCTTAAGGAGAGTCTTGTTCTTGAGTGTTTTAGTGTTGTATACACGTTAAGGGAAGCTTGTTTCTCTTGGTTGTACGAAGGAAAGGTATTTTCCTTCGGGTTGAAGTCTTGGAGTGCGGTATCTCCGAGCAAGTGTTGTTGAGGCTCGTGGGACTCGAGTTCTCAGGTTGTAACGGTTTGTTAAACACCCGTAAGCTTAACGGAAGTAGTGTAGCTCGAGAGAGTCTCTCGGGAGACTGGATTAGCCACACGTTGTGGTGAACCAGTATAAATCTTGGTGTGCTCCCTTTACGCGTTCTATGCTCTTTACGTTTCATGTTCTTAATTTTTTATTCCTGTGATTTCTACGATCAAACGCTATTCACCCCCCCTCTAGCGTTGGTCACTTTTTCTAACAAATTTGTGTATTTTGTAACTCTTTCGTGTTTGAGATTCTAGCATTTTTGCGAAAAAATTAAACGGTTTCTACATCATAGGTAAATAGTAAAACAAAAATGATTTTTTACTAAATTTATTTAGTAAAAAATAATTTTAGTGTAAAAAAAGGCATGCAAATTTTTCCATAAAATGCAAAACAGGCAAATTCTTTCGTAAAATATGATTTTACTAAATTTATGAAGTAAAATAAGGTAAATTCTTCTGTGGACCTAAGGTCCATGCTCATTATATGAACCTTAGTGTATTCGTAGTATAAAAGAACGAAGTGAGTATTTTTAACAAAAAAATCACAAGCAAGTCCATGAAAAATGTAAGAAGATTCATATTTTAAATGTGAAATTTGGGAACATCTAAGCAGCACTCAACAGAAAGACACATACTATTCAAAATTTATATCATTCTATTAATATAACAATACTTGTATAATATAATATTTGACTAATTTAACTACAAATGGTTTGTAGGTTGGACAAATAATTTAGAACTAAGAATTATATTGGGTATCCGTTTAACAATAGCTTCAATAATTAGCTTTAACGAATTGAACAGACTATCTAACAGTAACATAGCGTTTAATTTTAATGTTTTCATAATTATCGATATGATTAAAGAATACGGATTGGAGTACTTTAAATGTTAATTAAAAAAATTCATTCTCAAAAGAGCATGGAACTTCCATTATAAACTTTACGTCCACCTATTTTTCTGAAAAATTCTAGAGTCACACAGACAAAAGTCAAAAAATATACTTCCTTCATCTCTATTACGATCACACTATTTCCTCTTTTTATTGTCTCAAAATAGATTATAATATTCGACTTTAGTAACATTTGGATACCTTTAAGACAAAAATACTTCCATTTTTTATATCCCGACCCCTATGTGTGCAAAAAGTAGAGCTGACAAAACGGCTGGTTTGGTCAGATTCGGGTTCGATCACCTTGAGTTCAGGTTACTTCGGTTTCGGGTAAATACGAGTTCGGGTTGAGAGCTACATGTTCATAACTCAATATCATCGAGTTCGGGTCGACCCAACGAGTTATAACTTTCATTCAGTTTTTGAAATTTTAAGTACTGTTTATGATCGATTGTCAATATTAAGAATAAAAAACTAAATATCGAGAAAATTTTGAAAAAAAATTAAGATAATTACGCGATATCATTAAATTTTGTATGAAAATATTAATTTATACATTAAGAACAAGTAGTAAGCAAAGTAATATAATGGAAATCTTATTTTTATAACATTATATTACATATTAAAGCATATGATTTTGAAAAATTCTTACATTAGCGTGCCGGTCAGATCAGATTCGGGTTTCGTCGGATTTGACCCATTTTTAGCAGGTAATATCAGGTTCGGACAACTTCGGGTTCGGTCAGCAAAACCTTTGTTCAAAACCCAATATTTTCGGGTCGGGTCACTGATAAAAAACATGTCGGGTCATTTTTGCCAGGTCTAGCAAAAAGTGAATAAGGCTAGTCATTGATTAAATATACTTTGGAAAAAGATTCGTTTGAATTGACATAATATTAAAATAGGGAAAAGAAAATAATATACTCCGTAATCAATATGAGGACGCAGGGAGTATAAATTTATGAAGGAAAATTTACGTATAGGCTCCGTTTGGTACTCGAAATTCAAACTGTGAAATTGGAATTGTGAACAACAATTCCAAATTTATTGTTTGGTAGCACAAAAGTATATGAATTTGGAATTCGCAATGCCAAAAATGAATTAGAATTGGAGAACTCGATCAATTTCATCCAAATCAATTTAATAGAATTTCTGCCTCCAATTCAATTTCAATTTCGTCAATTTTGTGTACCAAACGGAGCCATATACTACCTCCGTCCCAGAGTATTTGTCCACTTTCATTTTTACACACCATCCAATACACTTCTTTAATCCATTTTATCTTGTAATTTGTACATTAAAAAATTATAGAAATTATATATTAATAATCTATATGTTAAGATAAATCAAACAAGATCACACATTACTATATTTAGGCTTACACATTGACAGAATTTGATGAGTCAAAGTGCTTAGATGAACCGTTCCAAAAATCAAAACTGGACGAATACTCCGAGACGGAGGGAGTAATACTTAAATGTGATGTCCAAAAAAATGGAAGGATTATTTTAGGGAGGAAATTCACGTACATATTACTAAAAATCTGAAACATAATGAGTTTTCTAATGTAGAACTATATGTTTTAATTTTTTAATGTATTATCATTGTTCAATTATCACTCTCTACTAAATATTCTTCAAGTAATGTCCACTGCCCTTAGATAATTTTCCCGCCACGGTGCCCCTAAATATTGTTCAAATATTATTTAGGAATAAAAATTTTTGAATCCCAAATTGGAAAAAGAGATAATATTATCTTTTAATTTTATTTAGGGCAAATTTTACTATTGTAGAACTCTTGTATTTGTGAATTGTGAGTGTAGAATTTGTTTTTTATTTTCTTTTTAGGGTGAAAGACTAAACTAGGACTAAAACATTGAAAATATACCAAAATAGGACTTCCATGTTTTTATTTCCGAAATAGGACTTACATTACCATACATGGTCATATATATTACCAAAAAAGTATAGTAATTTGCACATATACACTGCTACATTACCACAATGCAAAGTCACATTACCACAGTGCAAAATCCTATTCCGTGAAAAAAAACATGAAAGTCCTATTTTGATACTTTTCTCTATGTTTTAGTACTATTTAGGATAATTTCTATCCTTTTAAACTTAAAAAATCACATATCACAGTTGGCTTTTTTTCCTTTATCTATACCTTGACTATCTCCCATGCTGCCACCTCTCCCATCTCTAAGCACGTGTCCCCACCATCTTCATGCAACGCGTAGCACTTGCATGCATTTTGGTCCACCTGTCCTCTCTATTTTCTCCTACTCAATTACTTATATACCCCCCATTATCATCCCATAACGTATCTACCGTAATACTCGTTGAACTAAACCAAATAAACCAAGTTATTATTCGATCCCAAGAAACAATTCCAATTTAATTCTTCTGATCGATCATCAACTAACATACCAAATATGGCATCAAGACAGCCCGCCAGGACGGAGAAAGCGGAGGCCGACGCCCGGGCCGCCGCCGACGAGCTCAGCCAAGTTAACAAAGAGAGAAGAGAGTGCCGCCAAAGTATACTTCGTGAAGCCGCTCATCACCGTCCTCCGCAGGGACACGGAGTAGAGGAGGACGCGGAGCGGAAGCCCAGCGTCATCGGCGGCTTCATCAAGTCCGTCCAAGGCACTCTCGGCCACGCCAAAGATGCCGTCACCGGAAAAGCCGGGGATGCCGCCGACGCCGCCAAGGGCGCCGCCAATGCGGCGGCCGGAAAGGCCGCCGAGTACCGCGATTACACCGCGGAGAAGGCGAGGGACGCCAAAGACGCGACCGCCGGGAAGGCCGCCGAGTACCGCGATTACACCGCCGAGAAGGCGAGGGACGCCAAAGACGCGGCCGCCGGAAAGGCCGCCGAGTACCGCGATTACACCGCCCAGAAGGCGAAGGACGCCAAAGATGCGACGGTGGGAAAAGCCGCCGAAATCCGCGACTACACCACAGAGAAGGCGAGGGACGCGAAAGACGCGACTGTAGGAAAAGCCGCTGAACTCCGTGATTATACCGCGGAGAAGGCGAGGGATGCAAAAGATGCGACCGCCGGAAAAGCCGCCGAGTACCGTGATTATGCTGCGGAGAAGGCAAAGGGTGCGAAAGATGCGACAAGCGGAAAAGCCGCCGAGTACCGCGATTATACGGCGGATAAGGCGAAGGAGTACGGAGATTACACGGCGGAGAAGGCGAGGGACACAAAGGATACGACGGCCGGAAAAGCCGCCGAGTACCGCGATTATACGGCGGATAAGGCGAGGGAGTATGGAGATTATACGGCGGATAAGGCGAGGGAGTACGGAGATTACATGGCGGAGAAGGCGAGGGAGTATGTGGATTACACGGCAGGGAAAACGAGGGAGTACGGGGATTACACGGCGGGGAAGGCGGGAGAAGGGAAGGACAGTGCGGTCGGGAAGCTGGGGGAGTTGAAGGACTCGGCGGCGGATGCCGCGAGGAGGGCGATGGGCTTCTTGACGGGAAAGAAGGACGAAGCGGTGAAGAAGGAGGAGGAGACCGGGCAAGCAGCCAAGGTGAGCCGTTTATAGCCATCACATACATTCCCTTTGCTCTACCACACTCGGTTGGTTAGATTTTCATCCCAATTGGATTGCAAACTTTTGGAACTCATCATGTCTTGATAATTTTGTTTGATTATTTATGTATTTTTATTTATAATTTGAAAAAATGAGGAATTTATTTAAAAATTGTTTTTTCACAATGTAGCGTTGTATCATTATTCAAGTAAATGTTCATCATTACGGTACATTATGAACATTATTAAGTGATATTTAGAGAATAAAATAATTTAAGTCCTATTTAGAGAAATGACTTAAGTTCTATTGGTATTTAGTACAAATATTTCTTTTGGTATATGTGTGATTTTTTTTTCAAAGGAAAAGATGAATGAGAATAAGGAGGATATGAGGAGGAAAATGGAGGAAATGCAACTTAAGGACGAGTATGGCAAAGAAGATGACCGGGCACACCTTGACCAGGCTCCAAGGTGAATTTTTTCCCCTTTTTACCTTTTCTCTGCTAGGAAAATTACCTAAATAGAGTACGGAGTATAAAATATTACGGAGTATGATTTTCTCAATTTAATACGGAGTATCATACTCTCTTCGTTTTTGAAAATAATTTTGATTTTGACCAAGTGCTAAAGTAAAAAAGTGTTAAATTGATTTTTGAAAATAAGATCTAATTGATAGATTATTAGAGAAAAAATAAAATGTGATAGGTATAGTAAGAAATAATTTTTTAATAGAAAGTGGAAGTCTTTTGGTGAAAGAGAAAACATGAAAGTGAATCTTTTTTTATAAAAGAGAAAAAATGAGAGATGAAGCATTTTGTAGAACGAAGGGAGTATATTTTTACCACTCTTCAATGTCAATTGCTATTGTTCAAATAAATGTCTACCATGTACACATTCTTCCTGCCATTAGACATTATTATTGAAGTATCTCTAACCAAACAGGGACTACACTGAGAAGAGTGGGGAAGGAGGAGGAATCTTGGGTGCACTAGGGGGAATGAAGGACAGAATTATGGACACCCTAGGGCCAAAGCACCCTACTACTAATACTACCACCTACGAGGCCGAACTCGCCGGGGAGCCAAGAATCACGAGGGTGGTGGTGGACGTGGAGGAGAAACCAACGGGAACCACCACGGGAGTGGCGGAGAAAACGGCGGGGACGTTGAAGGCGTCCGAGATCGGGCAGACGTTCAACGACGTGGGCCCGATCAACAAAGAGGGGATGGCAAAATGGAGCCCCTAGCTAGTGCATTTCTAGTGCTTTGATATTATGTATTATTTGGATGGGTTCCCTTTCTTTGTTCAGTTCTTTTTTCTTGCTTCTTTGCTTGCTTCTTTCTTTCTTTTGCCATATCAAATAAAATAATGTGTGTTTTTACATAATTTATCTTTGCTCAAAGTATATACAATATTCCCTGTTTCAGGCCAAAAGAAACTTAGGTTGGTATTTGTCATTTTAACTTTTTTACAAAACCTAAAGTAATTTTGATCTATAATGTGTAGTAAAGAGGGTAATTAACTCTGGATTAAGTACTATGTATTTCCCAACAAAGTTTTTATTTGGATTCATGATTACCATTTATATTATAACTTACAATTCCTATATTTAGAAATGTTAATTATAATTCAAATGGTAATCATGAATCAAAGCTAAATCATAATCATGAAATAGTTGACATATTGCCTAATGTATAGCGTTTGACTTATGACCAGCAATGGATGTTACCCATACATTATTACTCGCTCCTTACTCCGTATATCCGAAATAAGGACTAATTTTTTATATTCCAAAAGTTTCATGTTTGAACACAGAAATATCCCTTACTATATTTGCTAATTAACTTGTTGTTTTTGGTAAGATTTTTTTTTTTAAATATGCAATTTGGAGTGACATACACTTTTTGTGTGCCCATAATAATTTCAAACAATTTGTAATTTAATCAATTACTAGAATACTAGTGTTAATCCTGTACTTCGCACGGGCTCGTATACATTCTAAATTTGTGATATTTTATATATATAATTTTATTTATTTTAATTTTCTAATAGTGACATAATATGTGTTAGATGAATATTTTTTTAACTCTTAGATATATCTTTTTCAAATAATATAATTTAAATATAGATTTACATGCACTAAAGACTCTATAAATATTTTCTTTAAAAGTAGTAAAAGAGAAATGATTTATTGTTTTTAAAAACCATATAAAACCTAATTTTTCAAAACATTGATAAAGTTAAAAAATATTTTATAGATAAACTTTAATTATGTAAACACAATACGGAGTATATTTTAACCTGGTGGAATATGTATTGGTATGTTTTTTTTAAAATAAAAATTGTATACAAAACTAATGGCCCTTATTGAATGAAGTACTAATGAAAATTGTTTTAATTAATAAAACATTATAATAAAAAATGGATTATTTAAATAATCATATATATAGGATATATAGGATATAATAAAACATTATTGAAAGAAGTACTAATGCACATGTGGATGCACATGTGGCATGCCACATGTCAACACCCCAAGAAGTTAAATAGTAGAGCCTGTTTGGGAATATCGTTAGCAATTTGAAAAGACTATCTACGGGTAATGTTTAGCCTTAGCGTTTTGAAAGAAATTTGCACCGTTAAAATTTTATCCAAAACGTTACCGCTAATCTCTAACGTTGTTCCAAACATGCCCGTAGTCTCGTGTTTTACCCACTTTTTATTTTTCACATGAAGATCAGATCGCCTATTTGTTGGATTCAATTTTATTTCAAGAGAATGTACTGTGCATGAATATTCAAACGGCTGAAATTAATGAAAACATAAAAAAGTAGGTGTGTGTACTATGTGGATAAAAATTAACAATCTCCATTTAAAATAAAGTAAATGAAAGAATTAAAAAAAGAGAGAGAGAGCTGATAAATATATCTTCACTTATTCATTGTTAGAAAGGAAGATGTGTTGTTCGCATGGACATTACATGTCCTTTTATACCCGGTTCTTATTCCACTTTTCGAGTTTTCTCTAGGTGAAATTTTTTTCCAAATTTTCCCTAAGTGAAAAATGTAACTGAGCCTAATGGACAAAAAATAACTGGTGGACGTTGTGCAGTTGACAATAAACAAATGATGTTAATGGGAGAGTTCGAGATCAATCTCCAACAATTGTTTTGGAAAGTAATTATGCTAACTATAAGGTCTTTGGAAGTATCAATAACAAATTCTACTTCTGGTCACAAATCTCTGATCAAAGTATAATTTATCCTACAAAAAGTATGTTGAATAAACAGAGAATTAATAAGAAGAATGATTTCCCTATAAAACCATGTAAATAGAGAGTAAAAAGTAGTCGACAAATAATAGGGAGTAATTATGAAAATAAAGAATGGAAGTCATCCAACGCACAAGCAAGTTACTTAAAGGGTAGAAGGCAGCGTACGCTTCCTCGGCATGGTAAAAGTGACATTTCAAAATGTAAGCACTTTTAACTTTTGAAACTTTCAAAAAAACATTTAAAAAACAAAACTTTTGACCGCCACTACTACACAAAAGGCTTTTTTAATCAGTTATTTTTCTGGCTTATAAGCTGCTTATAAGTCAACTTATAATCACATAGAAATATGTCATTAGCTAACTTATAAGTTAAAAATTGCTTATAAGCAGTTTTGACGAGCTTATATGCACCTAGAAACACCCACTTTATATGTATTTTCATAAATTTCTTGTGAAATCATGGTGATGACTGATGATTGATCTTTCTAAGGTGTCAAAATTGAAGTATAATTACACCTTCCATCAAGATTTTATCTTCTTATTTAGCTTTTTTTTTTGAAAAAAATGCAAATATTATTGAAAACAAACTCAAAACACAGCATCCCACCAAAATACATATAACAACATCTACAGATCAACACGCAAACTACATAATACTATGAAAGCTAAAAAAGAAAAATAGGTAAGCTCAAATATAATATCCTCCTTTAGCAGTTAGGAATGTGCTTGCATGAAACTTAATGTTCTAGATCGTATCCTCCACTGGAGTGAAGGCGTTCTTGTGCAGAATTAGGTTCCTTGCCTTCGAGATAAAATATGCACTTGGAGCGAATATAGCTATTAGACTTAGCTTTTGTTTAGTAGGGCCAACAGACTTCAACCTATCAAATATATCTCCAATTGTATCTCCTTCAAACTTATGCTTGGTCTATTTTCCAAGCTCTGTATACACTTCTGTTGTATATACACATTTGCAGAAGAGATGTTGACAATCCTCTTCTTCAAGTTTTGCATAGTAGATAGAGAGTGTCTACTGGGAAGAATTTAAAAATCCTTAGCTTTGTCTGCAGTCTATCTCTACAAAACAGCCATAATATAACATTTTTACTATTAATATCGATATTTATATATAAATATTCTAAATAAAGTTAATATTATATTTCAAAACTACGTGTCAAAAGAAACTATTGAAATTACACTTATATCAAAATATAATTTATCTTTTCCGTACATTGAAGTCAATATTTATAAAATTTGACTAAGAAAAATTCATTAAAAAGATTAAATACTATACGGAAGGAGAGCATAAACCATTATAATATCATACGATTTTAGTGTGCATAAGAAATACCCTGTAACAACTTTTTTAGTTATATCACAGGTGTTTTGAACCCGTCTTTAACAAAATTCGACTAATTCAGAACCACCGAGTTTGTGGAGTACTAAGGCCGAGAGTCTCCCAACAAGTTGTGGGGCTTGATTTCATAACATTGAGATCATCACAGCTCAACACTACCAACTGCACAATTATTTGTTGGTATACTCCCTTAACATTTGAAATATATATTTTCTGCAATCCAAAGACTTTAGGACATTTTTTATCTACAAATAACAAATACTCCGTATACTACAATGTGACAAATTATATAGCTCAAAAACATTGATTTTTTTAAAAAAATATTAAAGGTGATAAGAAGCATGTTTTAAAATAAAAGCAGGAAAAAGGGATCAAATGAGAAAATAAAAGGTAAAAAATTAATACCAATGCAATGACAGATAAAATGCAAGAAAAGCCACCAAGAAAAAAACTCCGCTGCCGGGGATCGAACCGGATTGACTGCAACATTTAAATAAGCCTGCGCTACAGCGGAACTACAGCAAATTTGTTGATTTCTCAGCTTAATTAAGTTTAAAATAAACTTGTACGGAGTAGTTTGTTTTTTTTTACCCCATTTCACCGAATTTTGGGCCAAGTTGGTGAAAGCTGAGCCCACTCCTAATGTTGAAATCAAGTTCTTTTTTTTATAGAATCATTTACACTTACACAAAAAGTGTACCCAAAGTTACACCAAAGTTATATACTCTCTCCGTCCCATAAAGATGGATACGTTTTGACTAAAGTAGAAATTAAGGAAGATATAATTTTGTGTTGACTTTCCAAAAATATTCTTGATGTGATGGGTAAAAATAAGATGTGATGTGTATATTATTAGGAAAAAAGTATGACATGATAGGTAGGATTTGAAAAAGTAAGGGGTAAAAGTGGTTTTTTAATAGACAACAACAACAACAACAACAACCCAGGTAAATCCCACAACAGTAGGGTCTGGGGAGGGTGTGTGTACGCAGACCTTGCCCCTACTCGGAAGTAGGGAGACTGTTTCCAAGAGACCCCCGGCTCCACCTGCACAAAAATATGGAAGGGAACACAGTATAATACAAATAAAGTACCAAGTACAAGCAACAAGTAGAAGCAATAGCAGAAGATTCCAAACAAATATTGTGAGAAACAATTTTTTTAAAACGTGTAAATCTTTTTGGGACGGAGGGAGTACAACATTTTGCAATAACATTTTGTGCATATATAAACTATTTCCGTCCTGTCACCTTTTGTCTCAAACCCAATGATCTTTGAAGATCAATTAAATAAAAAATGAAGTGAGTATTGAATATTAGCATAAAAATAACCTAATTAAATTTATTTGGTTGAGAGCTTCCAATTTTTTTCATAGTATTAATATGCAATACAAATTTAAACTAATTGGTAATCAAAGTTTATTCAATATGACTCGAAACAGCAAATAGGACGAACATACCATGACGGATGGAGTATTTATTAATTGTAACATCTATTACATTATAAAAACATTGAAAAATCTTGTTTAAATGTTTTGATCATGTTTTACTTTAGGAGAATGTTAGGGGTACACCCATAGTTTTGAGAATCGGACCGGTGACCGAACCGGTCAAGGTACTGGTTCACTGGTCGAACCAGTGGTTCAA